TTCCCCAAGTGAATATTTTTATCCCCCGGCATTGTTATCCCCAGTGTGGTCCGAGTAGAATTCTATTTATGTAAGAATTTCTATACTCCCTAGTAGAAGCTATCTTCGTAAAGAAGTTCTGCGCGAGAGAAAGCTCCCATCCCCGGCGAAGCTCTCATCTTTCTAACAGAAGATAAAGTATCTATCCCCCAGGAATTTTGGAAGTTTGATCAGAATTCAAGATTTTCTCTCAAACTGCAATTTATTTTTTCGCAGTATTACTACCCAGGAAGTTATTTCTTCAATGTTATCAATCGTTCGAGGTTGATGGTTTCGAATCTCGACTTCCTACTTAAGTTCATATTGCATGTTCTCTACAGAAGATTAGATGTGCAAGAATAATCATTTGAAAGTTCATTGTCTTCCCGACATCCGATTATTGACGTGGTCTCCCCAGTGCATTACTAAACATGCATCATTACATGGCATCATTACATGGCATCATTACATCGCATCTACTAAAATGCATATCATTTCCATTGCATGGAGCATTACGCTATAAAAAAATTCAAACATGCATAAGTATAAGCCAATTATGTCCACTTGTGGTAACCAGATTGTTATGCGCTCAGATTTGATTTATCTCCACAACAAGCCTAAGGGTGACTCTATTATGTTTCCCCAGCGGGGTTTGTTTTGATTCACCATCAGTCGGGTCTTTGGTATTCCTCCATCTCCCCAGTAAGTTTGTGGTTTGCGCTTGCCTTTGCAAGCCTTTGGTTATTTTACCCGTGTTCGCTTTTCCGTTAGAGTGCAAGTAAGAGTCGGCGTATAGCCTTTCTTATTTCTCAAGTATTTGAGTGTCCATACTTGGTGTGTGGTAATTCAGATGATTGCCACTCTTGAAGAATTATACCCCGCCTTTGGCCTGAGGGATTTTTTAGTTCTTGCGTATTTGCAACCTATCGAAAGCCTAACATGTTTTTCTTTGTTAGAGTCTGCTTGGACCAGTCCCTTTCTCTTGCAGAGTACACATTCGATCGGTGCTCTTTGAAGGTCCTGCTTAGTCGGTTCCTTGTTTTAGTTTATCCACGTTAGTCGGGTCCTCCTTTCGTTAGCCTAGCTAATCTTTTATGTTAAGAGTCTTTCAGTGTCTCTTCAAAGTCTAGTTGTCTAGCATCCTTTTTTAGGCGAATGTGCCCTTTTATTGGGGCTTTCTTCGGTTAGTCTCGTTCCTGTGTTCGCTAGCAATTCTAAACATTTGTTTCTTGATGATCAACTTCGCTCTTGTGTATCTAACTCTAACCAGACATCCATACCTGTATCTTTCAAAACCCCGCTTCGGCTGGTATCTTTTGTCAAAATCCCGCTTCAGATGGTGTCATTTCTTTTAAATCCACCTTCGATTGACATCATTTGTCCGGAGTCCCATTCGTTTGGTCTCCTTCCTCAATAAGTCCGCCTTCGATTGGTGTTTCTTTGCAAGAGCTTTCTTCGGTCTGTCTCTTTCGTACGTATCCGATACCAACCACGGATATGTATTTTCGATACCTGTTTCATATATCTGCTACCAACCTCAGACATATGTTCTTGTATCTTTGACGTCTCTTTCGTACGTATCCGATACCGACCACGGATATGTATCGTTGATATCTCTTTCGTACGTATCCGATAGCGACCACGGATATGTATCTTTGATATCTCTTTCGTACGTATCCGATACCGACCACGGATATGTATCTTTGATATCTCTTTCTTACGTATCCGATACCGACCACGGATATGTATCTTTGATGTCTCTGTCGTATGTATCCGATACCGACCACGGATATGTATTTTCAATACCTGTTTCATATGTCTGCTACCAACCTCAGACATATGTTCTTGTATCTTTGATATCTCTTTTGTGTGTATCTGATACCGACCACAAATATGTATCTTTGATATCTCTTTCGTACGTATCCGATACCGACCACGGATATGTATCTTTGATATCTCTTTCATACGTATCAGATACCGACCACGGATATGTATCTTTGATATCTCTTTCGTACGTATCCGATACCGACCACGGATATGTATCTTTGATATCTCTTTTGTACGTATCCGATACTGACCACGGATATGTATCTTTGATATCTCTTTCGTACGTATCCGATACTGACCACGGATATGTATCTTTGATGTCTCTGTCGTATGTATCCGATACCGACCACGGATATGTATTTTCGATACCTGTTTCATATATCTGCTACCAACCTCAGACATATGTTCTTGTATCTTTGATGTCTCTTTTGTGCGTATCTGATACCGACCACGGATATGTATCTTTGATATCTCTTTTGTGCGTATTCGATACCGACCACGGATATGTATCTTTTCTATCTCTTTCTTACGTGTCCGATACCGACCACAGATATGTATTTTTGATGTCTCTTTCTTGTATATCCTCTACCAACCCCGGATATGTGTCTCTGATATTTTTTTTCGTATGTCTACTACAGGCTTCAGGCATATATCTTTTGATACCTTTCTTACAGGTGTTTGTTACTAAATCCCAACAAATGTTCCTTGATAACCAAGTTATTCTGTTGTGTATCAAACTCTGGTTAAGCATACATCTAACCCTGATAACCCATGTAATCCAAAAAGCAAAATAATATAATAAAAATAGATTCCGAAAAAGAAAAATAATAATACCTGACTGACTCCGGAGCGTAAATTTTTGGGTTCTTTTAAGTATTTAATCTTCTTCCACCTTGAAAGTTCGAAAGGCTGGCGCCAATCTCACCTTCAGGTTGAAGACGATTAAATAGGGGCAGTTGTTGCACCCCAAAATTTGCCCTCCTAATTTCCTTTATTTTGGCTTAGACTTTTGCATTCATCTGCATCTTTTTCATTAGGTCACTAACATGGCATACATTTCATTCAATATAGCTCTGAGGTTCAAAGTTCAGTGGTTGTGCGATACTAGGGTTTCATAGTAGTTAAGGCGCTCATATCCAATAAAGGACTTCTTCTCCCTCAAGCAGCAAGGCTATTATCTTCTGATAAACAACCGATTGTAGGTCATTCTGGTCAAGAACTCTAGGACGTGACCTAGCATATGTGGGCTTTGAATCATGACGTCCTTTCCTATAAGTATGCTTGTCATTTGATTAGGATTAATACTGTGACATGACAATCGTCTACTCCTCAGTTAATCAAATTAGGTTTTGTTGAATCATGGTTCAAAGATGTTTTATCTGGATATTTCTCTGTGCGTCTGAATGAGGAATCAAGATTGTGAGGGTTTCACATCAAGGGGATTCTTCTGTGATTCAGACTTTATCATCCATCTGTAAGATGTTCCTTATGACGCTAATCTCAAGTTGAAATAACCGATCGCTAAGGGCTGAGGATTGAATTGTGAAGCGTGGTTCATGACCTAAGATATGAATTCATAGATTTCTCCTTAACCAAGGCAATCATTGTCCTCATCATTGTCATTTGTTATCTGCGATGCGAGTAGGTTTGGATTGAAGTAGGTTTCTCATAGAAGAATTCATGCAAGGTAATTCAAGGTTCAAGGCATTCAAGGAAGGGTTTGTTCAACATGGCATACCTGGTTGATGGGCTTACAAGCTCTTATGAGACCTTGAGATGCATAATCATGGGCCAATTTCAAAGATATGTGGATAAGATCTGTTGACTTCGGTTAAAGTAAGCTTTGAAAAATTAACTTTGGGACCAAGGTCTCCCTTGAATTTTCATCTAATATGTGTTGGGAATTCGAGTTTCATTTGAAGAATGGTATGGTAAAGGAAAAGAAATATTGGTTCAGAAAAGAAAAAATTCATTAAAAATCAGGGTTTCTATTCATTGATAAAAGTTCAAGTAATTGAAGATCAGGGGAAATAAGGTTTCATATTCATATTCTTTCATTATCATTTACATCCATCTTTGATGATTTAAGGTCGTCAATTAGGGAAGGACTTTGTCAAGATAAGAGACTTGTGGATTGAATCGTGGAATATGAGGCATGATACAAAAGGTAAGGTTGTGAATTTTTTTAGGATCAAGATCTTATTGACTATTCAAATTATTTGTCATTCAAGTTGATTTGGGTTCAAGATTGAAGTTAGGAGTTCATTGAGAATGCAAGTGTGATTTGGATTTGAAGTTTGATTTGAGTTCAAGATGTTCGAAAGTGTTTGATTGGATTAAAGTTGGCAAAGAGCCTTAAGTATTGGTCATATGAGTTTCTTGGAAGGTAAAGTACAGACTGCGAGGTCTTGTTTCAAGTCGGAGTTCATACACATTACAAAGACGTTCATCGTTATTCCAGATTCAAGTTGACATGTGTTCAAAGTTTATTCGAACCCTTTCATTCATGATTCAAGAAAATACTATCCAATTCCATTCAATTTCATTCAAGTGTAACAATACCTTACAAGAAAATTTGATGCTTTCATGTCTTCAAGCATTTTCTCAAGACTTTGTCATTTAAACTCCGTCCTTAAAATTCATCACCCAACATTTCAAGCTCAAAGGTCATTTACAATTCACACTATAAATTTCAAGTTCATCCAAACCAAACATTCATTATAAAATCATTACAATCTCATTACACCAATATTCTACAAAGAAAAAAAACTGTTACAAAATACACTTGAACAAAATTCTTTAGTCCTAAAGGTGCTAAAATTCCATGAGTAAGCTTCTAATTCCATGCCATGCCAAAGTTCTTCATCTTCAGTTCATGACCTGCACATTCATACAAAAAAAATCCAAGTCAATACAAGCAATCATGCCATAATATCCTATGCTCATACAAATTACTCGACACATGAAAAACCATTAATTAACCCAAACCAAATGCTAAACACATATATGGAACAACCTGCATACCTTAACTTTGGCAGAGAATAGGTCCACATCATTCAAACTAACTGCAATTGAAAGGAAAATCAAATTCAGCTTCGGAACAATGTCCAACAATAACCATAATCACACATTTCCAATTGCAGCTACTTTTGTTCATGCTCTTGTTGCTAAATCTATGTCAAGAAACTTCAGTGCTAATACAGTTTAAAGCCTCGTTAAAATGGAAACAAAGTCTCCCTCGACAACCAATTCTTGATTCATGGATCATTAATAATTCAAGTTCAACTTCAACACGAATACCATGTTCATGGAGAGGTATCACTTGTGATTCAAAAGGAACTGTCACAATTCTAAACTTGGCATATACTGAACTTCAACAGGGGGTCCAATTAACCAAGATAGCACCAGAGTACTCTGTGGATGAGCCTGAAAATCAGCTTGCTCAAAAGGCAGATCTCTGTTTTAGATCTGAGAAGCCACATTGGATGCCTTCAGGCTTCATTTCCCTAAGCGGTGGTGCAGAAATGACAAAGGAAGAGAACATGACTAAGGCTATAAAGAATATTCTTAGTGAGAATTTTGATGATGATGAAGCAACAGAGTCTCAGACTCTATTGTATAAAAATCTATGGCTTGAGGCTGAGGCTGCATTATGTTCCGTCTCTCACAAAAATCGCTACAATCAAATGAAGATTGAAATGGAGAAACAGTCATACAAGCAAAGAGACATGGAGCAGCATTCAAAATCAGAAGTTATTCCTAGTTTAAGCAGGAGTGAGAGTTCTGCAATTGAAGTTAACAAATGTCTAAACTCTGATTCTTCTGATGCTACCATTCCAAAGGAACTTTCCCAGTCGGAATTTTCTTCTGATATGAACAGGCTTGATTCATTGACACCTGAAGCAGATGGTGGTCAAAACTTGTATAATTTCATCCACAATTATGCTGTTTCTGGCATAAACAAGGAAGTGGCCGGAAATGACGAGGCTTCTGTTATGGCCAAATACAATGTTATTAAATCCAGGGATGACAATTCGTGCATCAACGCTAATGATTTGGAGACACCATCGCACACAGCAGACATCTTGGCAGCTCAAGTAGCAGATAATCAAAACCAGGTCAATTTCTTTCCGGATTTTCTAATTCCTGGGAAAAACATGGCTGATTATGAGACATCTGTTTTGGCTAGATTTCATTTTCTCAAGTCCCGGGCTGCTGAAGATTCAAGTTCTGTATCTTCAACAGAGAAATTGTTTGAATTTTCTGGTGAAGGAACAAAAGAGACTGAAGGAAGATGGAGAAAATTTAACTACAAAAGCGCAGGCAACAACATCTTGACTTCCTGCTCTCGAATTTGAGGTATGAACATTCGACTGGGCGGGAATCTGTTCTTGAAATGATTCATGCTATTGTAGTCAAATTTCCAAGAGATGTTTTGGACGAGCAGTCAAAGACATTTTTTCTCCATTTGGTAGCTTGCTTGGCAAATGATAATGATGATATTGTTTGTTCTATGAGTGGGGCTACTATAAAGAAGCTCATTGGTTCTGTTAGTTCCAGTGCACTTAAACCTATTCTTAAATATGCTCTTTCTTGGTATTCAGGTGACAAGCAGCAACTCTGGGCTGCTGCCACACAGGTTTTGGGGTTACTGATTGAGGTAGTAAAGAATGAATTTCTTAGTCATATAGACTACATTTTGCCGGTGACTCATTGCATCTTGCAGTCTGCCATACATGTAGTCACAAACCGGCAAAAGAGCTTTGAGTCCGAATCCAACCTTCCACTTTGGAAGGAGGCGTACTATTCTTTAGTTATGTTAGGCAAGATAATTCATCAATTCCATGACTTATGCTTTACAAAGGAACTAGAGGGTATATGGGAAGCAATATGTGAGATGTTGTTGCACCCACACTCTTGGTTACGCAACAAATCGGGTCGTCTCATAGCTCTATACTTTGCACGTGTAACAGATAACAACAGAGAAAATCATCAAAGCTCCTTAAATAGTCATTTTATGATGAGTCCTAGTAGATTATATTTAATAGCCACTTCTCTTTGCTGCCAATTGAAAATGCCACTCATAGATGAGGTTGACAGCATCCTGATGACCCAGAATATTGTCTTTGCTTTTTTTGCTTTAATGAGGCAAACTGCCAGCATAGATCCATCTGCATTCTGGTCTACTCTTGAGCAAAATAAGAAGAATCGGTTTCTCAAAGCTTTTGACTTGATTAATGCAAGAAAAGGAAGAATGATGTTCATGTCTTCATCACTTACCTCCTCCGTATGTGAAGGAGGTAGTCAAGTTAATGTTAAGAACACCCAACAGATACTTGTATCGTTATTGCTCAAGAAGATGGGCAAAATTGCTCTTCAAACAGATGCTATTCAGATGGAAATAGTCTTCAATAGTTTTGGTAAACTTATGGCACAGATAGAGATGAGCATGGACTATGCACACATAGTCCTGATACCTCTGTATAAAGTTTCTGAAGGATTTGCTGGAAAAGTGGTAGCTGGTAATCTGAAAAAGTTGGCAGAAGACACCTGTGGGAAAATAGAGAATATTATTGGTACTCAAAACTTTGTCCAAGTTTATAACCTTATCAGGAAGAACCTGAGTTTGAAAAGAAATAAGAGGAAGCCTAAAACGGGAACTCTTCCTCAATCACCTTACGCTACTGATCCAGCATGGTCAGACTCCCTTTGGAAAATTCTGCAGGTTACATGGGATGATCCTGATTTAGTTACAAATACGAAGAGGCTGAACCCCCCTAGCAATTTTCTAAAAGTCCGTTAACCTCCATAACTGCTAACCAATTATAACTGAATTTAAAACTCTCAAACTGTAACTAACTTCCTCATCTCCTAACAACCTAGTGCTAACCTAGTTTTGAAACTAACAGAATTTCACTTCTAAAAAAGAAACTGTCAAAGTTAACTTCTAACCGACTACACCAAGTTACTGAATTAAGAAAACTAACTCTAACAGTAGTTTTTAGCTTCCAACTGACTTGTTCCTAACATCTAACATACCTAACTTCTAAGAGAAATTTCACTAGCAGTTATTAACAGAACCAATAGAAGTTAACAGTTCTAACTGCTTAAAATCTGACCGTTCATCTTGTAACTGAATGATTTGATTCAACGGCTCAGATCTTCACGTCTCTAACCGTTTCCATCTCCCACAACTACCTATATAATCCAAAACTCCCTCCAAGTTTCAGACCTACGATACTTTCTCTTTTCCAGTTTCAAACTTCATCCCCTCTCCACCATTTTTTTTCTATCCTCTTCCATTAACACGCTTCATTTTTCACCCTGAACTCAAAAAGTTTTCGGAATTCTCTCTCTTTCTTCTCTAACCAATACTCTTCACCCTTCAAGCCACTCTTCATTTTTACTTACTTCTGAAACCCTGCTTCATCTTCATCAAATCATCTCTCTGTAAACTCAAATCACACTCCTACGATCTCACTCAAACACAACTCACAACGAAAACCGCAACAACCCTATGCTCCTCCCTATCAATGCTCGTCAATACACGCACTTGGAAGTCACAAAGAAACGCAAGAAAAAAGAAAGAAGAAGAAGAGCGGAAGAATAGTTCGCGCAACCGGAGTTATAGAAAGTACGTACCTGAAGTCAAATAATCTCGCCGATAATCACTTTCCCCAGATTGTATTCTGTCCGGTAAGCTTTGGAAACCTTCGAATCATTTATCTCCTCGTAGTTTTCTTTACACATGGAGGTAGATTGTAGCTTGTAAGGGAGGGTCTCGGTAGTTGCTTCCGCTACTTCATCGTCACTACCACAAATTGCAAGTTCACTAGGGTTTCAACAAAAAAAAGAGGATCGATGTTGTGGATTAACGAGAAGTTAGCGAGTCTGGGAGTGAGATTTGTGATCAAGATTTAGTTTGAGGAAGGGTTCAGCAGCGGCGACACCACCGGAAGTTGCATACGAGTGTGAGGAGATGAAGAAGGGAAACGACGAAGAAGAGAGCGCCGCTTGTATTTGTGTTTCTCCTTCAATTCATTTAATTTTTTTTTATTATTCAAAATGTCACAGAATGTAGAAAAGGGGCTATGACCAAGTTTAGGGCCCTCTAAGCCCATCAAGTACCTTTTGTGAAGCCTAGAAAAAAAAACTATAACAAAAAAATACTTCATGAACTGGGCCTAGAATCTGAATTGGGATCGCTATGCAGTGGCATCGTGTGCAATTTACACCTCCTGGGCTGGTTCTCACTATTTGCAATTTCTTTTTTTTCTTAATTTCAATTATGGTTTAAGACTTGTTTTAATTTTCTTCACAAAAATAAAAAATATAAAAAATCTGTAAGAATTTGTTAGATTTTATTATTTTCGATTTCTTAGGAGTTAATTCGTGGTTATCCAATTATTAGAAATTCATGATTCACCTTTGCTTTGTTGAGATTTAAATCTTATGCAGGTTCATTATACGATATGTGGATACCCTTGAAATTTCGAGTGTGATTTATTTTCACATCGATGATGCTTCAACAATTATTTCGAGTATTGTATTTCTGACTCTTTTCCTTGTTGATGCTAGCAGCTCCTGAGTTCGTCGAGTATCTTTTCTTTTTCTGCTTTTCTCTACGGGCTAGTACTTGTTTGGTATATTTTCTTTCTATTTTCACCTCGCATTTATCTCTTCCGATAGATCATATGAAGTATGATAACATTAGGTTTAGAAATAGGTTAGTTTCGCTTTGACTTTTCTTTCCCTTTTTGCATGTGCATTTAAAAAAAATAAAACTTCTTTTCTACGAACTTCAGAAAATACTTTAAAAAAAATCACTGACGCGAATCATATCTTCGTTGAGTCTGTGAGACGATAAGCGGGTCTCTTCTCGATCTTATTGTTCTTCGTCTCAAGTATAGGTGTGGTTCAATCTTCAAAGACTCATTTCACAAATAAGTAGAGACGTGGTTAAAATCTCTCTTGAGATTAACTAGCTATTATCTACAAGCAAAAACAACAACAAATACAAACTCTTTTTGCCTTCGGGCCTTCCTTTCAAACACTTTTCAAGAGATCATGTTAATTCACTTCTGTGGTTACGCGTAAGTCTCCAAAGGTCGAGTTGCGGCAAAAGGCGAAATTAATGTTGTTCATTAAAAAATACCAACCGACAAAAACATATAAGCCGAACTACGGCTGCTCTGATTCCTCAAAAAGGATACGTAGGCATCGGGGTAGGGCCTGAACGAGCACAACTTTTATTTTCCCTACATTCTTTTCTCCTTATTTCGCATGCATTTTCCCTTTAGTAGCATAATAAACAGTAAGCGTCGATTAGACACACCCATAAGATAGATAACAAGAGTGGATACCATAGAGTACTACGGGTGTGTGGGGTGCTAATACCTTACCCTCGCGTAACAGACTCCCTTACCCTTATCTCTTGGTCGTTCGACCATGATTTCACCCTTCTCAGGTTTTCTCGATGTTTACCTTTCCCTTCATGTGGGATAAAAGACGTTCGATGGCGACTTCATTGTTTGCTGATTTTCAGCCGGTTGTTTCAAGTATGACATCCAATATACGACCCAAAAAGAAAATTAAGGGAAGTGTGTTGGCAGACCATTTGGCACATCAAGCAGTGGATGATTACCAGTCTATGAACTTTGAATTCTCGGACGAGAATATCATGTTGGTAACTGATTGTGAGACACCTGGACCGGATGAAGGACCTGAAGAGGGATCCCGATGGTCTATGTACTTTGATGGAGCTCTGAACGCTTTGGGTAATGGCATTGGCGTCGTGATCATATCTTCTAAAGGCTCTCATACTCCGTTCACCGCCCGACTATGTTTCAACTGCACCAACAACATGGCGGAGTATGAAGCGTGCATTATGGGTCTTCGAGCAGCAATTGACCTAAGGATTAAGTTTCTAAGTGTTTTCGGAGATTCCGCTCTCGTGATCAGTCATATCAAAGGCGAGTGGGATACGAAACACCCAAATCTTTTTCCTTACAAGGAGTATGTATTGACGTTGCTTCCACATTTTGAGGAGATAACCTTTGAACACTTCCCTAGAGAGGAGAATCAGTTGGCGGACACGCTGGCTACGATGTCTTCTATGTTCAAAGTCAATTGGGTTAACGAGGCTCCCCGGATCATCATTGAAAGACTGGACGAACCTGCCCATTGCTGTGATATTAAGACTGAAGAGGTAGCGGATAAACCCTGGTTTCATGAGGTGAAGAGGTATCTCGAGGCTCAGGAATACCCCGAGGGTGCATCTGTTAATGACAAGAAGTTTCTGAGGAGGTTCGCAGCAAAGTTCTTCATCACCAATGGCATTCTTTACAAGCGTAACCATGATTCGACCTTACTGTGATGTGTGGATAAGACCGAGGCAGAAAGGATCATAGCGGAGCTACATGAAGGTATTTTCGGAACTCATTCCAGTGGACACACGATGGCAAAGAAAATCCTTCGGGCGGGATATTATTGGTCCACAATGGAAGCTGACTGTTATCAGCATTCTCGGACATGTCATAAGTGCCAAGTCTATGCTGATAAGGTGCACATACCTCCAGTACCTCTGAACATCTTGACGGCTCCGTGGCCTTTTGCAATGTGGGGCATTGATATGATCGGCGAGATCAGACCTACAGCGTCCAACGAGCATCGTTTCATCCCGGTAGCTATCGATTACTTTACGAAGTGGGTTGAAGCAGCTTCCTTTGCTACCGTAACCAAGAACGTCGTGGCACGGTTCATTCGGCACAATCTGATTTGTCGATACGGTGTACCAGAGAGGATCATTACGGATAATGGTACCAATGTCAATAACAAGATAATCACTGAGCTCTGCAAGCAGTTCAGGATACAGCATCACAACTCTTATCCCTACCGGCCGAAGATGAATGGGGATGTTGAAGCGGCTAATAAGAACATTAAGAAGATTGTGCAGAAGATGACAGTGACATACAAAGACTGGCACGAGATGTTACCATTTGCTCTTCATGGGTACCGTACCTCAGCGCGGACGTCAACAGGGGCAACCCCTTATTCCTTGGTATATGGCATGGAGGCAGTGTTGCCTATTAAAGTTCAGATACCCTCTCTTCGGATCATGAAGGATGCAGGTTTGAGTGAAGATGACTGGATTCAGACCCGGCTTGATCAGCTGAACCTAATCGACAAAAAGAGACTTACTGTTATTTGTCATGGTCATATGTACCAAAAACGGATGATCAAGGCATTTAACAAGAAAGTCAGATGACAAGAGTATCAAGTTGGGGATCTGGTAATCAAGCGCATTATTCTACCTCAAGGTGATCCCAGGGGAAAATGGACCCCTACTTACGAAGGGCCATTTGTGGTTAAGAACATTTTCTCAGGAGGAGCTATGATTCTAACCACCATGGATGGTGACTACCTTCCTCACCCCATCAATGCAGACATAGTGAAAAGATACTATGCATAATCAAAGACCCGCTAGGTTGACTGGCCTAGGAAAAAATAAGGGCTTCCCGGCGAACCAAATGGGTTCGAGCAAAAATAAGGGATGAAAATGAAAAAATCTGTACACCGACAAGTCGAAAACCTGAAAAGGCGGCTTGGGCAAAAAAGGGTATCCCGGTGGACTGAAAACCCGAAAGGGCGGTCCAGGAAAAAATTAGGGATCAAAGCATAACACTATGTCTCATTGGATCATCTTGCATCCAGACTTTGGTATCAACTATCAAGCTTGAACGACACTAATCAATCTGATCTACCTTCAACCAAGTAGCAAAGTGATGAGATGCTCGAAGATAT